ACAACACTGTGGAGCAGAGAGACCACAGTTCTTGAGGAGTTGGAAATCCTATCCTGATCCAAACATGACCACTAACAAGTATTTTTCAGTTTATCCAGTGGGAAATTCTCATGCTTTCATTAGACCACATGCGGTAGAGGTTTTTCTGCAGCGGCTGAAGTATATGTACTGCGGAAACACTACTGCACATGTACTTATTAGAAGGGAATACATCATGGTATTCAACATGAAGCCATGCTGTCAGTAGAGCTTTTGTCAGGAAGAGTTTCATAGACTTGAGTCAAAAGTCCAGTCCTGGTCCTGGTCTGGTCTGGTCTGGTCTGGTCTGGTCCTGTCCAGTCCTGGTCTGGTCTGGTCCTGGTCTGGTCTGGTCTGGTCTGGTCCTGTCCAGTCCTGGTCTGGTCTGGTCCTGGTCTGGATGTCTCAGCCCCAACAGCAGGTTTCATCTGAGTGTCTGTACTTCAAACTCTCATCGCTCACCACAGCAGACCTGAGCCCGCTGATGTCCAGTGCTGATGTCCAGTGCTGGTGACCTTGTGCTGTGACTCGACTTCTATGTGCGTCCAAGACTGCGTCAGCTCCATTTCCTGATCGCTTATAATTGCGCTTATGTCACTGAGGAGTGAGTCACTCTCTCTCTAATGTTATGTCCATGCTACATCCTCTGCTGCACAACGACAATGCAAAACAATGGAATTTTTAAATGGCTTATATTAGAAAATATACTAATACAAGTATAAAATATACTAGAAAATAGAAAATATCCAGATTGCTTAAATCACGGGTGTCAAATATATGGCTTGTGGTGCCAAAACCAGCCCATGGGCCATATGTATTATCATTAAAGCTGCCCATTATCTCTGGTGTAAAACAGTTTTTGTATTGATGTTCATTCACATTATCATGAAAAGTCTTCATTTTAGGTCTGCAAGTTTTTGTTGTTTTTTTTTGTCTTAGAGACAGTTGGGCTTAAAATATAGGCAAATTTGATAACCAGCACAGAGACATAATCAGCTTCACTTTCATCGTCACATTTTTACTTATACACAGTTGGGACGAAACCGCGTTTTGTGCAGACTTCAGTAAAAAACAGCGTAGCAACACGTAGAGCAGCAGATATGGAACGTAGAAGTAAAGAAGATAATAAATATATATATATATATATATATATAAATACACAATAAATCTATGTGGAACCTGTGGCTCCAGATCCACATGTGGCTGTTCAGGGGCTCAATGGATCAATAGATCATTATTATCCTACAACGGACCAAATACTTCAAAGAGATTTATTATCAACAATCTGAATATAACATAAAAACCCGTTGTGTTTTCCATTTTGCAATAAAAAGAAATATCCAAGCATCCATTGGGATTTCTTTAAGTCAGCAGATCCATAAGAACCCGTCACCCCATCCCATCACCAACTCACTGCACAAGAAACCGAAAAGCCCCACAAATGTGTGGTGGATTGTGTGAATTTGTTTGTCCCCCTACAACCGCTCCCTTATGGTTTGACAAAGAGTGTCCTGTTTTACCAAGAGCTTTAAATGACCCCCAATATATCCAACAGGAAGTTCCTTAAACACATGACTACATACCCTGGCTCTGAACTACTCTAAGCACAGGGGAACCCGGAAAAAAAAAGAACTTCAAACAGAACATAAACCTGATTGACAGCAAACACTGACAAAGAGTCTTTCTCAGCTTCAGCTGAAGTCCCTTTTTAGGTGAAGGGAATGGATTCCTGCGAGGTTACCCACTGCTTCTCTGCTACGTTGCTGCATCTTAATTTCCTAGAAATTAAAGTCATTTATCATCTTACTCCACCAACAGCTTCTCTGAAAAAAAAACCCCAAAAAAAACCTTCCAGATACTTCAGTGTGAGCCTGTTGGCTGCACGCTGCTGACATTTCCCCTGAAGTCTGCGTATCGAGCACTGCATGGAAACGAGTGACTTTTTTAACCTTGGGCTTGTCGTTTACGTTCCAAATACTCAGGCTGGGAGAAAGGCCAGAGAGAGAAAGAGAGAGAGAGAGGGAAAGGGAGGGGGAGAGGAAAAATAATCTCTTTATAAAATGCAAAGAATGGTTGAACTAAGACCTCAATAAATCACTGTAAAATTTGAAATCTCTAATTAAGATGAAGACATTGAAGACATAATGACTGTTGGCAGATAAATCGAAGAACACTTCCTCCTTAACCAAGACAATGTAGCAGTGTATGGAATGTGTTAGGGTTAGCGTTAGCGGTTCGCACACAAAGACACCTCCTCGAAGAGACAGGTAAGAAATCTAGATCAACTAGTTTGACACTGGCACCAATCAGCTTTCACACCAACAAAGACAAACACGGTTCACTGATAACCTCAGCCTCTCACATTCAAGACAAAGCTTAAATGTCAAAGGTCTTATAAATTACTAAAATTGTGAAAATCTCGGTGGCTATCTACGCCCTCGCCCGTAGATAGCTACGATTGGCTACGGTGCCCCTCCCCCACCCCTGGGACCCTGAAAAGGAATAGACGGCAGACAATGGATGGATGGATGGATGAGGAAATGTGGTAATACCTGTATTTAAGTCGTCTGACCTCTGGCAGGGATTTGTATTCAGGAAAGATCAAAGTTTGAAGTCTGACATTTTCTCTGCTTCTAAATCTCTGTCTTTGTTTTTTTCCTTTTCTTTTTTCTGTCACACTGTTGTTTTTGTGAGCTGGGTTAATGTCAGGCCTGAAGTCTGTGTGTTTGTACGGTTCCTATGGGCTTTGGAATACAAAGAGAGATTGTTGGAGGAAGGAAGATGATTGTTTTTATAAATACTATTAGTTAGAAACAACAATGGTTTAAATGTCAAGAAAATCATTCAAACTGGGCTCAACATCTGGCTGCACACAAACCAGAACTCCAAGGGAAGATTGCAGCACACGTTAGCTCCTTATCCGTGGATTTTGACAATTCATGGTTAAAAACACATCTTAACAAACTGTACTTCAAAACTACTTCAGAAAGAGCACAATTATATATATATTATATGGTGACAACATAATCAATGTAGCTGTTACTGAATACTAAAAAAGACAGAGACAGACGGACAAAGCTAGCTAGCTAGCTGGCTAGGTAGCTGTGTAGCCGAACAGATACTAAAAAAGACCAAATAAAACAAGCAAAACAAGATGGAGTGATAAGCATGTGGGACATGGGTACAATTATCTCTATTACCACGCCGTCCTCAGAGTCATGATGCTAATGCCGAAATAAAACATACATTTATCAGTTTGATTAATTTATTAGTCACCATCCCACAGAAGCAACCGCTACGAAGGGACTCACGGTACGGCCTGTGAATCTAATTCCTGTTTTCCCATTGAGAACATTAAACGTCAGCGTGTGTGTGTTCATCAGTGACACCATTGATTAACGGCTCATTTGCCATAATTGAAAATAATCACCCTGAGTAGACAAGAATAGAAGGACTCCTTTAGGCCTCAGTGTTGTTTCCTTTTCTTGTTGCCATGTTCTCCCTTTGTTAACACCGAGTGATAACACCAGCCTCACGCTGCAGATTTCATGCATCTTTATTCCTCTCACATCGCTGACCCTTGACCTCTGAGATCTGTATCCAGAGTGCCAATGATCCCCCTGCATCCTCTCCCTCTGAAGCCCAGCGCTCAGTATCGGCCCACTTCTTAGATGAGGGAGCCTGACTACGGTTCAAGTTCCTCCCGTGTTAACATTCCACTGCATTCCAACACTGGACCTGACATGGTGTCATGGCTCCGAGTGCAAGTTCAACCATGTACAAGGTGCTTATTTTCACCCCACAAGATAATTTTCCTTCATAACAAAAATACGCTCAGGCTGCATTCCCAAATATGAGGTTGGAAAGTCACACCCACCCAACGCCACAAGTTCTCCTTTGAAGACAACGCTTCGACAACTGTGTCCACCTTCTCCAGGTCCAAATGACAAACGCTTTTTTCACTGGACGAGAAAATGTCACGCAACCGATTCAAGATGTGGTTCTTTTTTATTGTATATAATGTCAGGTGATTAAAGACATTGAATCGTGTGTGTGTGTGTGTGTGTGTGTGGACGTGGGAATGCTGCACTTTGTTTACCAAACAGCCAGACTGTCTTTCAGCTGTGGGGCTGCGTTAAAACCACACAGATGAAAGTAGGAATGAAAGAGAAACAAAGGTGGAAATGTGCAACAAATAAACAGCCGGGTATGCTGGGAAAAAAAACAGACTGAAGGCAGAGGAGAAATGAAACACTGCAATATGAACACAAGGTATATGAATAAATGTATCGGGATGTTTGGGGGCGTAGGGGTGGGGTGGGGGGTGCAGCACAAGGCCTTTACTGTTGAGGGCAGGGTGGAGGAGAAGGAGCAGCTGACTGCCCGGGCAGATGGTGACTACCCCCCCCCCCCTCCCCCCCTTCAGCTGTCAGAGCTCGGTGAAGTGGTCAATTCACATACAGGACATTGGGTCAGTGTTCAAGGACTGATGGGACATACAAACCTCCAATGCATATACAGGAAGTTGGGCTTTCCCGACAACTCACAGAGGAAGGTTGTTGGGAAAGTATACGTATATGGCAGTTTTAAAAGAAAGTTCGCTACAAAGTACTCTTCACTTCACCTTCACATATATGACTGTCATTGTATATTTCAGAATGGTTACAGAGGAGCTGGGTCCTCACAAGAGGTCATAAGGAGAGGCCAGTTCACTAGTTCAACTATATTAAATATATAGGTATATGTAAAATTGACATATATTTACATGTATTTATATATATTTACAGGGTAATCATATATAAATATATATGTAAATATATATTCATATATATATACATATATATTTACAAAGTAAATATATATAAATATATGTAAGTATATTTACATGTATATTTTAACATTTTCAAAATGATAAACTTAAATATATAACTATATATATAGTGTGTATATATATAAAACAACATACAGGCTTTTTAGTGGGTTTCCAATGACAGTGTCCGAGGAACTTCCTGCCCACAGCCAATGACCAAAGCTCCACCATCATGATGATGGTTATTTCAAGTCTCACCGCATTTGTCTGCTAACGCACACGGGCAGACTACTATCATCCCTTTCCTAATGTGACGCACGTAGGAATCAGTGACGTGTTTAAAACCACCGAAGGTTGTAGTTGTGGCATTAGAATTAGCGTAGCTTCTAGCTGTGTTTTCTCCATTTTGACTTACTTTTTAAAACTACAAACACTGACATCCAAGGACCGGGTTAACTGACCACGGGTATGTGAGTGAATGTGCCTTTGTTTCTATATGTGACCCCGTGATGGACCCATGAACTGTCCAGGATGTAAGGAGCATTAGGAGGACAAGAGCAGTAAATCAACATTATGGACACAAACTGCCATAAAACATCAGGTTGAACAACAGTCAGAGTGAGAGTGAAAATATCACATCACCAGGGACGCAGGGTTAATCTCTCTGTCCTTGACTGGAGTCCAGCCTTGACAATTCTTTCTTCTTGGGAACAGAGATGGTGATAAAGCAGAGGGCACACACTTCAGGGGCACGGGCCTCATTTACACTGCAGAAAAAAAAGAAAAAAAAAACCCAAAGTGAGGTGTGTAGAGTGTAGTGAGTAGAAGTACGAAGATGGTAGAAGTTTACTAGATATTTAAAAAATATATCTCATGTTTGGGAAACATAACCTGGTCCTGTACAAACTGAAATTGAATCTGGACCGAATTGGAGAGTTGTTTCACAGTGATGTGTTGTTGGATAAAGAGAAGAGAAGAGAAGAGAAGAGAAGAGAAGAGAAGAGAAGAGAAGAGAAGAGAAGAGAAGAGAAGCACCACGGAGTATTTAGTCTGAAAATCACAGACGTTCAAGGATGAAGCGGTCGTCAGTGAAGGGTCCTGAGACAGGAATGCAGTCTTTGTTTACTTTTATGAATTCTCTGACAAAGTCCCTGGGTCCATGGGTACATTCATGAAGTCCATTCTACCAGTACCATCCTCAGATTCTACGACTTAAACCATGATTGTTTTGAAAACATTTTGAAACGGAATCTAAATTATAAAAAAGAGCAAAAAATGCAGATATTTGTCTCATATATGATGTATTAAAATATTAATAATATTCAAATTAGTATATTGTTCATAAATATTGATACATAGTTATTCACCAAAGGCAAATGAGAGACGATGAAAAACACAATCACCCTGGTCTCACATTCATTTCCTCCAATTCACTTTGGTAAATATTATTGAGCTGTTATTGTTCCAGAGGATTTCAATTATTCATTGATTGTTTTCTGAGTTTCAAAGCGATGGAAAAATAAAAAAAATCTGTTTAACTATATAACTCTAATAAAACAGCCCACACACCCTGCAGAGGCACATTTAAAGATTAACGACTTGACAATTATTGTGTAATCATTGTTCCAGCTGTCGTTAGCAGAGCTTCGTTATTTGGACTCCTCATTTGATTCGATCGCCTGCAGCAGCTTTAATAACCTACTGCGTACCACTAATAATAAACCCCATTTGCCGAAAGGGAAATCACTGAGTTGTTGAACAGTCAGAACTTGGACGTGTTACAGATTTTTTTTTTTTTTTTTTCAAAGCTGGTTCACTTTGTGTGGTTAAAGCAGGCAGAGAGATGAAGATAAGTGAAGTAAGATTCACACTGATTTTTAGAGATAAGGTTCAAACATGAGCAATATCTGAATCCATCCACATGATCCCACGCCACTGAAAGGTTCACAGCACATCGTGTTTCCTGAGGAGGAAGTTAGTGTCAGATGAATGTACAGCAGGGAGGTAACAGGGAGGTCAGGCGACCGTGGCAGGGGGAAATCAGCTGGTGGGAACAGAATGATAGGTGCCTGTGGTTCCAGATGAAAGATTTGAATCTGAAATAGCAGAGAGGTCGGTCGGACGGATCGCCACAAAGTGAGAGAATTACCTCTGTGCCTGCAGAGAACAAAAGATTGAGAGAATAAAGCGGTGAACGTCTGACAGCCGAAGACAAAACGCAGCAGGAACGACTGGTTCCTTTGAATGATCTCACCAGGATCTAGCGGCGAGAATGTATCAGACTGGGAGTGGTTGAAAGAAAAACGCAGCAGATTTAACTCGCACACAAATGTGAGTGTCAGTTTCTTTTCTGTTCACCTGATGCCATGTTTGGATCATAATTAAAGGCTGCGAAGGATCAGACACATTAGCTGCAGACTTGCTGACGGCTAAAGTTTCATTCCACACCTCCTTTAGAAGATCTGGTTTCATTATTTATTTTTCTTCTACTGCAAAAAGTCAATCCCATTTTTTTAAGGTTTGTAACGCACTTTTAGGATTTAACATCCTAACTTTACCATCGTACAAGTATCAGAACTACTACAAATACTGTGTGAGCACATCTTTTGCTGCAGTAAAACTGTTCGTGGAAACAGCAGGATTTGTTGTTGTTTTTCGTGTACACAGATTGACCCTGACTGTTGGTTTGGTTCTAAAACTCTTCGCTTCACTCACTTGACTCCACACGCTGCTGTCGGAGTGAGGTTGTAAATAATGAACAACTGGAAGAGTCAAGAGCGAACACTCCAGGCTGAATTCCTCCGACTGAGGCAGGTCGAACCAAGTTATGAATGTTGTATTTAATTGTCAGCAGAGTTAGAGCTGTACGTACAACATATATAAACACTGTCAAACACAGCCTTTATCCGAGTTAATAAACAGAAAGCTTCAGAATCATCATCGTCTTTCAAAGGAAAATACGTTCGCTCCAGATCTCACTTCACCATCTACAAACGGAAGTCAACCTGACTGGTGGTTCTCCAGGCTGGAAACCTTAGACTGGGGTCTGGGGTGTCTAACTCATTTGGGCCGGACCAGTACAATCATAACATAATTACCTATAAATAAAAATAATCCATGTTTCTGTTTTCCTGCAAATAAGTTCAAGAATATTCGAAAATGTTCATATTTAATAAAAGTTCATTTGAAATTTTTCAGAATTTTTTTCCACTTTTAAAATTCAAGTGGACCAGATTGAACCCCCAAGTGGGCCTGTTTTGGCCCGTGGGTTGTATGTTTGATACCCCTTGATACCGTTTGGCCCGCAGGCTGTATGTTTGAGACCCCTTAGATCAAAAACGACACCAGGGCACTGGGATAAAAAAGGTCGGAGTGAATAGTCTTTCTACAAAACTGAAGTGACCACCAACATTACCTGACCTCGTGTCGCCAGGGAAGTGTTTTTGTTGGTTTTAATGGATGAACATGGTCTAATGCAGTGACTATGAACTGGTGGCCCACATGCTGAATCCAGCCCGCTGAACTGTTCCATCCGGCCCACGACTGGGTACATCCAATAATATTGTTAGACAAACTGTGATTTTTCTTTTTCGTTGAGCGTTCAGCGCCCAGGGATGTCTGTCCAGAAAAAAACATTTTCCATCATTACCTCCAAAAGCCTATGTTACGAAGATATTTTTTTAGTCCTGGAATATTCCTGTTTCACAGTGATCGCTTCAATAAGAGTTGGGGGAAAATGTTCAAATTTAAAATCTCACCGACGGTTGTATAAACTACGTGTAAAAACGACAATTATCAAAGATGGGGTTTTTTTTTGTGCTCTGCAATTACATTTATGAGGTGGAGGCTGTTGCTTAGCAACTGCTTTACATTCTGTGCAGCCACGTCTTTGTTTGGTGCTCCAAACTTTACTAACGTATAGCATCGCGGTCGGGTTTGAAGCCCTGAAAAGCTGGAGGTTTCACCCGAGGAGCCCAAATAATAAATGAGAAATGTTCACCTGCGGTGTTTCTGTTTTGACGTGTGAACAGGTGCTCGCAGCAAACTTGAACTCTCCCTGGCTGAGGTGGATACAATTTGCGTTACGACCCAAGAATTCAACAGATGTTTCCCCAACGCAAGACGGGGCAAGAGTCATCAAGCTTATCAGTAACACTCGGGGAAAATTACCCCGCCGCTGCCTTCTCCACATTCCTGACGTGTTGTTGATGGAGGTGGGATTTGAAGCCTGTGGTGGTGTTGGGGGAATTGTTGGTAAATAAACACGGATGAGAAAATGAGAGGGTGTCGGTAAAGCAGCAGCATCGTTTGGAAAGATGGTATTTGTACATGCCCCCCCCCAACCCTAACCGTAACCCCCCCCCCCGTTACCAGTTAATCTTATTTCAGACCAGCACAGGACAACATTCCTAGCTGTCCCTTTCAAACAGATCTCACATATTTGCAGGAATGTTATGGGTTAATAAGTATTTTCTTGTGTGTAGGAGGCGCTGCCACCTAGTGAGTGGAGGCTTGTTGATTGTTCAAGCATTAAAGCAGCGACTAATTTCTGTCACATTTTTACACTGGAAGTCTCTCACGCCCAACCCCCTCCACCAACCACAGCACCGCACTGCGCTCCCCCCAGGGGGCCCTGCCCCACAATTTGAAAAGAACTGGTTTACACCAAACACTTTCAGGGACTATTTTCCCATCATGCTCGTCCTCATTTATAGCTCATGACGTTTACATTTACATGTAGGAGAATACACACAATCCCCATGACAGGATTCATATAAGGGCTTTTTAGGACAGTTACTGTAAATGTCTTCGTCCTCATGGAAATAACTCTAAATTCTGGACACAAGAGAAGACTTTGCATCAAACCGCCATCCTTTTTTGGCCGTGCACAAATGATTGGTTGCACCTCAGTTTCGTGTCCTCCTTCAATCATTCTTTTGGCCTAATGGCCAGGCTAATTAGGTCTTCAGAGAATACTGCTGTCAGAGCTGACACTACAGAGGAGCCCAGGAAGACCATTAGAGCCTCAGTTCATGTCCAGAAAGGGAGGCTCATTTTAGACTAAATAAACCCCTGAACCACACACACAGCCTGAACACTTTGTGTGTATGTGTACAACGGC